GCCGGCGTCCGAGTCCCCGGGCAGCGCCGCGGGGAGGCAGGGGGGGTGGTGTTTTCTCCCTCACGCGCCCCCTGCTCCAGGAGCCGGGCGGGAAGGGGCACCAGCGGGGCAGGAGCGGCCCTTTCCCAACCCAGTCGTGACATCCTTGCAGGGTAGCAGCCAGATAGGGAGAGCGGGGGGGGGGCAGCAGCTCGGGCCTGAGCTTGCCCTTATCACCGCACAGGCAGGCGAGGGCAGCTGCGGTAGCTTTTAGATCAACTCAGGAGTCGGGAAAATTGTTGCTTTGCACAAATGCCTGCCAAAGATACTGCTTTTTAAAGACACTCTCTCTTTCTCTCTCTCTCTCTCGTGTTCCAGGTCAAATGAGCCAAACCCAAAAGCCTGAGCAGAACTGGATGGCATCGATGGAGCAGGCACAGCTGAACAATGTGTGGTTGCAGAGGCTGGGGGGGCATGGTGGGAGCTCCCGCAGGTGGTGGCAGCAATGTCAGCAGCTGAGGTGCCTACCCACAGATGCTGCCAGCAGCATTGGCAGCAGCCAGCAGCGATCAGCAACCGCCTGCAGACGCCACCAGCAGTGTTGGTTGGTGGCGGGGGGGTGGTGGTGGCAAGCAGCGACTGCCCCCAGGCACCACAAGCATGTGGCGGTGGCCAGTCACGGGGTGCGTGTGCACCCCGTGCATCCCCTACACGTCACCAGTGAGCACAACTCCATTGTTTTAAACGCCGTGTGTGGCACTGCAACTGGTAAGCATCCTGCCACATATTTGCATTTTCACAGACCTGCATTTTGCATATTGGCTTATACTTCTATTCCACCCAGAAGAGCACACAAACACCAACAGACTCTCTCAGTGCCTGAAGAAGGGTGTTTGTGCCTGAAAGTTTGTAAAGAAAATTTTGTCCAAACTATTTAGTTGGTCTAATAAAAGATATTGCATTTACCCAAAGAACCTATATGATCTGGGACTTCAGATACAAGCAACCCCTGCTTAATGCTGTTTTGCTTAGTGCTATTTTGCTATGACTTTCATTATAAATTGATGCCTGATTCCACTTAGTGCTCAGCAAGTTTCGTTATAACGCTCACAGTTGCCATCTTGGATCATTAAAAAAACTTGCTGTCACCATCTTGGGTCTCAAATACTTTCGGTTTTGCCTAATGCTCGTCTCACTTAACGCTCGGTTTTTCAGGAACCAATTAAGACCACTAAGTGGGGGTTGCCTGTACTCCCAGACCTACAGGCTCGCCAAAGCCCAGAGGTCTTGGGGTTTGGATGCCCCCAGATACTACAGGCAAGCATCCTGCATCCTAGACACCTTAGTCCAGTACTTCAGGTATTTGCACACTCAATCTTAGCCCACAAGAGGCTGAGAAGCAATATCACGTTCACCCAAAGAACCTTGTCTGCCTGCGTCCTTAGACCAGGGGCGGGCAATTATTTCGGGCAGAGAGCTGCTTACTGAGTTTTGGTAAGCCATTGAGGGCCACGTGACAGGCAGCCAGGGCAGATAAATATTAATTTTCTAAATTTTTTAGGGGCCCCATGGACCAGATAGAATGGCTTGGTGGGCCACATCTGGCCCATGGGCTGCATTTTACCCACCCCTGCCTTAGACCAGCACAGCTACAATCAACAACCCCTTATCACCTCACAGCTCTCATGTCACAGAGTCAGAGAGGTCAGGCTGGAAGGGACTGCCAGAGAGAATCCAGTGCGACTCCCTGCTTGAGACAGGATCAGTCCTATCCAAACCGTCCCATACAACCACCCTATAAACTCAACGTAAGATCAACCCTGACACAACATAGACCTAATACCCTAGCTTTGTAACCCTCCACTCAAGCTGTGCCTCTGGGCTGGAGCTCGCTTGTAGTGGACTTGAGACAGCCTCCAAATCTCACTGAGAGGTTCAGTACCTCCTCAGTGACTCTCCAGGATGGCTGGGACAGCAGGAAAATGTCATTGTGAGTGAGAGGTAAACAAGGATGAAGGGAAGATACTTTTTCTGCTCTATGGGCTGCTGCTGCGCATTCACTGAATCATAAAAATTGGGTTGGAAGGGACCTCAGAAGGTCATCTAGTGTCTAACCCCCTGCTCAAAGCAGGACCATCCCCAACTAGATCATTCCAGCCAAGGCTTTGTCCAGCCAGGTCTTAAAAACCTCCAACGTTGTCAAGTGTTACATATATCATGCAAGTGACTAGTCCACTGCAAAATAAACGTAGATGAGCCACCATGCGAAGTAATTATCACGAGATAAAAAAATGACTTGCCAGCTATAAAAAGAGTCAGCCAACTATAAAGTTAGTGCTTGAAACTGTGTAACAACTTCATAGCTGGATTCTAGCTACATGATGATGTAACAGGGTCCTATATAGATTAGCTAAGTCAGAGAGACGGAGCAGAAGTTTTCCTAAGCAGCAGGCTTATGACAGCGTCTGCTACAACATCTCTGATTTGGTTACTCTACAAGGTTCATCTCTACCCTGCCACACTTCAAACTAAGATGACTAACTGCCTCTCTCCAAGAGAGCTTTTGGCCATTGTTAGAACATGAAACTCAGAGCAAGCCTATCATTTTTGCCTGTTGTTTTCTGTCTGGAAGCAGAAGCAGGAAGTACAACAAACTCTCTTCAGCAACCTCCCTTAGATCAAAGTCCAAAACAAGCACTGCATTTAAATGAAGCAAGGACTGATAATACACATGACTTACATATGGCAAAGTATTCTGTTAATATTTATAATGATCTAAAAAGTAAGGTTTGTTAAACCAGGAAATTCAGAGCTAAGGTTAAGCTTAAAAGCAAATGTCCTCCAGGCTTTTGCATCAAGCTAGCGTTGGCAATTCCATTATAGCAATCATATTATTGTTTAACTTTTCATTCAAGGCAAATACAATAATAAAACCAGTTAAAGTGTTTGAAATACAAAGTAGGAAGCAAGGCTTTCAGGTTAACATGACCTCCTATTCCTGTTCCCCTTTGTTCTGTCATCTTCTATAGGGACATGCACTGTCACTTTCCTAGAAGCTATTAACTGCCCCATTTAGAAGGAAAAAAGACATGATTAGTTTAGATGGTAGAGTTGTTGAATTCCAATCCCTCTTTCTTTAAGATGGAGTGCAACAAAAACACAAAAAAAGAAAAGCAAAGATTAAAAAACACTTTTGAAGGAGCCACTTGGATACTACATGAAGAATTGCTGCAGTACAAAAAAAAAAATCCTCACAAATCACACACCATTAATTATGACATACCACCCTTCCCTGGAACCTATACAGGAAATCCTCAAACAATTGCAACCCATACAAGATAAGCTGAGGTGCCTACCCACAGATGCCGCCGGCAGCATTGGCAGCAGCCAGCAGCGATCAGCAACCGCCTGCAGACGGAACCAGCAGCGCACTTACACAATGGGGAACTCCCTACTTGAGAGCACGGAGGCAGAAAGAGATCTTGGAGTCATTATTGACTCCAAGATGAACATGGGCCGACAATGCGAGGTCATGGTTGGCAGGGCTAACCGGACCTTGTCGTGCATCCACAGGTGCATCTCGAGTAGAGCCAAGGAGGTGATCCTCCCCCTCTACGCGACGCTGGTCAGGCCACAGCTGGAGTATTGTGTCCAGTTCTGTGCGCCCCAGTTCAAGAGGGATGTGGACAATATGGAGAGGGTCCAGAGGAGGGCCACCCGCATGATCCAGGGACAACAGGGCAGACTCTACAGTGAGAGACTGCGGGACCTGAACCTATTCAGCCTCCACAAGAGAAGGCTGAGGGGGGACCTGGTGACTGTCTATAGACTCACTAGGGGGGACCAGAGGGGTTTGGGGGAGACGCTGTTTCCCCTAGCGCCCGCTGGCATAACAAGGAGTAATGGGCACAAGTTGATGGAGAGGAGGTATAGATTGGACATCCGCAAAAACTACTTCACAGTTAGGGCGGCTAGGAGCTGGAACCAACTTCCAAGGGAAGTGGTGCTGGCCCCTACCCTGGGGGTCTTTAAGAAGAGGCTGGATGCCTACCTGGCTGGACTCATTTGAGTCCTGTTTCTTGTTTTGGGGTTTTGTTGTTCTCCCGCCCTGGCGGGGGGTCGGGCTAGAAGATCTACTAGGTCCCTTCCAACCCTAAATCTATGAAACTATGAAACTATGAAGATTCATAGATTTCATAGACATTCAGGCTGGAAGGGACCTCGGAAGATCATTGAGTCAAGCCCCCCTGACCCAGGGGCAGGAAGTCAGCAGGGATCATAGGATCCCAGCAAGATAAACATCCAAATGTCTCTTGAAGGTGTTCGAAGTAGGTGCTTGAACCACCTCTGGTGTTAGTCTATTCCAGACCCTGGGGGCTCGGATAGTATAGAAGTTCTTCCTTATGTCCAGCCTGAAACGGTCATGGAGAAGTTTGTGACCATTTGACCTTGTCATCCCTTGGGGAGCTCTGGTGAACAGATGTTCCCCCAGATCCTGGTGAGCACCCCTGATAAACTTATAGGTGGCCACCAGATCACCCCAGAGTCTGCGCTTTTCCAGGCTGAAGAGTCCCATGGCTCCCAAGAAGAAGACCCAATTCTTAAAGAGATTTTTCCAGAACCACACATCTTAGCCTTTAGACAAGCACTGAACCTCACCAAACTCATCACCAGAAGAAAACTTCCTATGGCCCAAAGCACACCAAATGGATCTAGACCATGTCAGGACAAGAAATATAAAACCTGCAAGCATATCTCCACCACCCTCACAATTACTACATCCTACCACAGAAACATCAGCATTCCTGTATTTTATACCTGCACCTCCAGAAATGTAATACTGAATGCCTTGATGGA